CCAAATGACAAGCTCGAATCGGCCCCTGGAACATCGCTAGCTACCCCAGCAATTGCGACTCCCGCAAGCACCACAGTCCTAAATCCTCTACTCCTCCAAGCACTAAACCCCCAAAACTCTCAACTACTTTAAGGCCGGCATCCCAAAATTCCAGATGTCAAAGCCCTCCAACTTTAAACCTGTAACCTCAAGCCAGTAACCCATAAGCCCTAGTGTTAAACCACAACCTATAAGCCCCAAAAGCCTCGGAACCAGGCCCAAGCCACACTGCATGTCGGTGTATGGGTACCCTGGGCCACCAAAGTAGAAGATCTCCGGCCCTCAGGGGAAGTGACTGGAGTTTGGCGGGGTTTAGGGTTTAAGGTTTAGGGTTTAGGGTCTAGGGTTTAGGGTGAGGGTTTAGGGCATAAATGTGTGGGTTTCGGTTTCAGGGTTCACGGTATATACGCAGCATGCGGATATGCATCCAAGATGAACCTTGTTCCGGCTCGGGCTTTGCTTTTCACGCACGAGTACCCAAACAGCATTTTCGACCTCAAGCCAGAAGGCCCATATCAATCCGAAATCCAAAATAGACCCTATAAAGCCTGCAAACCCTCTAAACCCTACACCCTCAACCCTGGGGTTTCATGTTGGGTTTATTAAGGTTTTCGAACCTCACCTCAATAAGGCCCCCATATCAACCCTAAACCCGAAACCCTAAACCCTAAACCCTAAACCCTAACCCTAACCCTAAACCCTAAACCCCAAACCCTCAACCCGAAATCCAAAACCGCCGCCGGGGATGAGGCCTGAGGCAGTGCTACCGCCATCCAGCGAGCAGCAGCAGCCGGAGCCTCAGCGCGATTGGTTAGGGTTAGCGTTTAGGATTCAGGGTTTAGGGTAGAATCCCCCCCCCCACCCCCTAATACGAAATACTAAGGCTATAGTTCTATTCGAGCTAATGGGGGAGTGGGGTAGGTCTGCGGTTTCGCAAGCGTTTCGGGGGCCACAAAAATGCGGCCCAAACCGGACTCCACACCCTCAACTGAAGCAGCCGAAGGCCTTAACCCCAAACATCCCTAAACCCCAAAACCTAAACCCCAAACCCTAAACCCTAAACCCCTCACTAGAAAGAAATCTGCGGGGCCGTGCGGCAATCGCCCCCGCAGTCGCCGCAGGAGCAGTTGCAGTCTCCGCCACCACCGCCGCCCTGGGGGAATGGGTGTCGGGACTGGAGCTTGATTTTAGGGTTTAGGGTTAAGTAGGGTTTAGGGTTTAGGGTTTAGGGTTTAGGGTTTAGGGTTTAGGGTTTAGGGTTTAGGGTTTAGATTTTCGGGTTTAGGTGCACCTGCTAGAACCCTTACCCTGAGAATCTCTCCGGCCCCATGATTCTTCCTCCCCCGCCCAAACAAAATGCCTGAACCCCAAGAAGCCGCATTCAAATACACACCACCGCCGAGCCCCATTCTCACCCCCTATTGGAATTTAGGGTTTATAGGGTTTAGGGTTATAGGGTTACAGGGTTTAGGGTTATAGGGTTTAGGGTTTAGGGTTTAGGGCTTAGGTGCCTCGCAGCAGGCCGCGAAAACGCCAGCGACGGCGATGCCCACCAGGGCCAAGATCACCTTCAAGTCTTCTCAAATGTACACAGATCTTCCAAAAAAGCCATAGTTGATTAAGGGGAAAAACCTAATTTATACTAAGGATCCTTACTGTGAAATTAGGGTAGATTCCGTAATTAAGGGTGTTTTTTGGAAGATCTGGGTACCTGGAGATTCACGGGTACTTGCAAGTATAGGGTTTTTACAACGTAGGGCAACTGCTCTTATCACCCAAGCTAGGGTACCTGCAACCCTTCTTAAAAGAATCCAGGAACCTCCGAGTAGGCGAACCTCATTCTCTCATTTGCTGAGTTCATAAGCCCCAAAAAAGTGTATACTTTCAGTTCTATAGGGGATTCTGGTATCCCAAAAAGTGTCAAGTGTACTCATTCAGCTACTAAGTTCTCCATTTTCCACCCAAAACGCCCCTAAACCCTAAACCCTAAACCCCTAAGGGGGAACATCCCAAGAGACAAGGCCTGACACCCTTCAGACAAAAAGTTCTCAGCTCGGTGCCATGGCCCAGAGCAAGATGGACCAAACAAAGAGCGTGACCACCTCAGCGGAAGACTTCGGGTGAAGGGCTATGGACTAGTGACTTGCCCAACCCTTTGAACCCTCGAACTTCAGGGTTTAGGGCTTAGGGCTTAGGGCTGAGGGTTGATGGCTTAGGGTTCATAGGGTTTAGGGCTTGAGGTTTAGGGTATAAGCAGACAACAACAACCAACTCGGAGATTTATGTGTGGCTTTGTGGTCCTTAGCCGAACTTCCTTCGAGATGTTGGCAAACGATTTGTGATTTGGTGGGTTGACGGCGTTGACAGCAATTTCGTCTTCGTCAAGCATGGCAGACCCCCTGTAACTTCGCTTCGAGGAGTGTAGTAAGGTTTAGGATGCAGAGGCTGCCGCTTGCCATTTGTGAGCTCACAAACCACAGGTAAACTAGCTTCGCCAACTTTTTTGGGAACAGACGGCTATAGCAACTACGAACTCAAGGATCTAGTGCTTTCGGCTTGAGAGATCGGAGGGTTCAAAAAGCACTGCAAGATTCTGCAAAATATAGTACTGTACAAAATGAGGATGCGAAAATGTATACTAAACATGTACTTTATTCTACGACACCCAAACAAAATGTACGAAATAAGAAAACGACCACACCATAAATATATGCATGTCTAAAATCTACTAGGACTATGATACACTTCATTACAATATACTGAAGAATACTGGGGCCCCCCGACCCAAGTACAGACCAAGAAGATGTAGAACCAGAGTCCAAGGTCCAGCACGTAGAACGTCCAGGCCAGGTCGTCCTGGTCTAGACCCAAACGACCCTAAACACTAAGCCCTAAACCGCAAATAGGATGCTTATAGCGGGGTTTGTAAGGGTGATTTGGGCGACGTGTCTAGGGTTGTTTGGGGTCGTGGTGCTCTTTAATGGGGCTTATATGGCATTTAGGGGGGTTTTAGAGGGTTGAGGGTGGTTTAGTATGGTAGGGTTGAGGGCTGAAGTGTCTGAGTATCTCTCACGCAGGGCATCGCAACGGGAAGAAGCTCTAAACCTGAAGGGGTTAGGATTCAGGGCTTTTCGTTTAGTACGTAGGGTTTAGAACCTTGGAACCTTAGAACCTTGGAACCCTAGAACCTTGGAACCCTTAGAAACTCAGAACCTTCGAAGCCTCCGAGTGGTTCAGGGTTTAGGGCGTAGCGTTTGGGGCTTGGGGTTTAGGGTTCAGGGTTCAGGGTAAGGGCGCCTGGAAGACCATGGCGCTGTAGTTCTCGACCACCTCGGGCCATGTGGCTGCTGGTGAGGAGAAAAACGTTTCGGGGTTTAAAAGCACCAACCAGCCCGCAACTGGAAACCCTGGGATTTGGGTGTTTAGCCCTTAGGGTGCTCGGGTTTAGGGTTTGAGGCTTTTGAGTTCAGGTTCAGGGATTAAAGCCCTACTTGGACTCCCCAAGCAACACATCATAACTAGCCAGAGGGTACTTGGGGGATCTAGGTACACCCTCGCTAGGCGTCAGTGACCAGTGAAGGCTTGGGATGTGTGGAAAGCAGGAGAAAAGCCGAAGCCGTGTCATATCCCTAAACCCCGAAGCCCTTGGAAAATTACGGAGGGTGCGTCCCTCTTCTTGGGTTCAGTCCCCCCTTCATGCCTGACCCCTGAAGCCCAGCGTACCACACAAGTTCGGATGAACCCTGAGACCCGACGTTCCCCCCACCCTGAACCCTATAAGCCCTAAACCCCCTAAACCCTATGAGCGGGTTCAACCCTAAACCCTAAACCTTAAACCCTAAACCCTAAACCCTAAACCCAAACATCAGGGCCAAGAAGCTGGGCATCGACCGTCGCAGGTCGACGCCATGCCAAGGCTGCCTTTCAAGCCTAGGCTTGGGGTTTAGGGTTTAGGGTTTAGGGCTACTCTTTAGGGTTTAGGGCTTGGGGTATAGGGTTTAGGGCTACTGTTTAGGGTTTGGGGTTTCGGGTTTGGGGTTTAGGATTTAGGGCTACAATTTAGGGTTTCGGGTTTAGGGTTTGGGGTTTCGGGTTTATAGGGCTAAAGGCTTCAGGCTTCTTCAAGTTGAGGGTTCAAGGTTTCGGGTTATTCTAGGGTTTAGAGCTTGAAGACTAGGGTTTGTTAAGGTCTTTAGGGTTTTTGGTGTACAGGGCTTAGGGAAAGTTTCAGGTTCCAGCTTAGGCTAAAGGGCTTGTAGGTTCTAGAGAATAGGGCAATTACAAGGTTTGGGCTGCTTCGTAGGGTTTAGGGTTTAGGGTTTAGGGTTCAGGGTTTAGGGTTTAGGGTTTAGGGTTCAGGGGTTTGGGGGGTGGGGGTTATGGAGTTTTTGGGTCTCAAGATTCAAACTTGGGGTGCAGGGCTACGGAGCTACAGGGCACTGAGTTTGTACCTTGGCTCCGACACCAAACGTCCAAGCCCCAGACCAGACCTGAGCCCGAATCCGGGCCTCCGGCTTCTGGACTCTTGCGAGGACAACTACTGCTACCCTACGCCCTAAAAACCCCAAACCTGAGTCCTAAACCCTTCACCTGACAGCCTAAACCCTAAATCCTACACCCGAAACACCCTAACCCTAAGACCCCAAGCGCTAAACACCCCTGCGGAGCCACGGACCAAGGCCTCCTTCCCCACATCCCACGGAGACCCCCCACAAAATTCTGGTTGCTTCTATTGTGGGACCTGTGTCTGCGGCTACAGCAATAAGAGAACGAGGGGGTGGAAAGGTAGTGGACCCTTGACTTTTGAACTGGTTTGAGGTGTTAAAGGTAGTGGATGTTGGGAGAACTGCGTCGTAACAGAATATGGCAGTCAATGGCGGGTTGAACCACAGAGATCTCATGTGAAACAGCGGCAGAGGGTGAAACGCACAGCCATAGAGGGGGAGCAGACGCGTTAGGACTCACTCACTGTCCATCGCTCGGCCCAGGATGCGTCTGGGACTATAAGCGGATGCCCGGGGCGTGCTGAGCGTGCCATCCTCAGCTACGCAGCAGTTGAATGCGATCAAAGCCACGGCGTTGGCCACCAGAACGCTGTAGTACACCGCGAGCTCGCGGGCAAGGCCGCTTCCGCAAGCCGTCTCACCAAAGATGCCTGCCAGGATGCCGAAGGTGACGGTCTCCAGGAAGCGCAGTGCTAGCAACACCTCCAGACCAGTTTTTCGGTATTGTTCCTTCTTCAGCACCAGCGGCACAACTGGGATCACGTATGGTAGAGTGACGACGGCAAATGCAGAGTCACTAGAGCAGCGCTGTCTGCGACAGATGCACACTTGGTAGATGGTGCAGAGGAGGAAGAAGGTGCCAGCCGTGGGCGCTCCGTAGGGCCTTACAGGCTCCGAGAGGGCCATGGCGTAGCCCAAGCTGCGGACCGCCGCGTCGGTGGCGATAAAACACATGCCAATGGCCTTGCCCTTCCAGGATCTCAGGCGGGGGTTCCGTACACCGTCAGTCGTATCAGAACTAGCACTCATCACCGTAGAGGCGGAGAGGGAAGCGATGGAAATACAGATGGATGCTATCTTGAAGCCTTGGCCATACGCACCTAACTGAAAGATGACGTAAGCCTGAAAGTAGAGCTGGGGTGCCGACTCGGTTATGGAGGTGAAGATGTTTCTGAAAACACTGCCGTTCTCATCATCTTCAGTTCGCTCATGACCCAGGCAGAGTGCGATGAGCTCCCACGCGTGGCTGAGCTGAGCCACGCCGAGGCAGCAAAAGTGTGGGCACCCACCACAACAGAGGTTGTCATTTTCATGTCGCTGCATCTGCCCCAGAGTCCACCACATTGCAGGCACCAGCGTGGAGATAACGAGCAGCGTGCATGAGATTCCGAACCAGGCCCAGTGCGGGCTGCACTCGGAAATCTGGCCTTGGGCGTCCAGAGCCGCGATGGTCTCGTTGGTCTGATTGGTTCCCGGTATGGTCGGACAGTCGGGGGTGAGCTTGTTGTCGATCACGCATGCCTGAGGTGCCAGAGCTACCTAGGAATAGCCTTGAGTAAACAACGGGTTACCTGTTTGGTTGTAAGGCTTTATTTCAAGAAATGGATACACAAGGAAGCTGGGAGGTCTCAAGAAACATACTGTAGCATCACGACGACGTCCGAGACATAGTCCGCCATGGCCAGGGCACCGAACAAGGCGATGGAGGCCGCCTTCCACCAGTCCATGGCTCCCCAAAACTCAGCCCGAAACCCTGGGCCCTATAGCCCTAAACCCTAAACGGTTTCGCTTCGAGCCTGACTGTTGCCTCGCAGGTCCCACATGATGTTCAGAGATGCATGTGCTGGGCAGGGCAGATGCAGAAGGCAGAAGGGTATTTCCCAAATAGGGGTACCTCGGAAACCCATGACAGATGCTTCCGAGCAGCTGCTCCACATGGAGGGGGCGTGATGATCACAGTTCCTGGTTTAAGGTTTAGGGTTTAGGGTTTAGGGTCTCGGGTTTAGGGTTTAGAGTTAGGTTAATTTTCACAGTTCGTGGTGCTTTTGGGCTTTGAATTGACTGGGGCTGGGGGATGGGGGTTCAGACTCATCCCAGAATCGAAAGCTCTACATGCCAAACCCCTGACGCCCTCAGTTTGTGGCAGTATTCTCCGTTCCCTCTATTGAGAAATGCTTGCTATCAGGGGGCGCGGGGGGGGGGGGGGGAATAGGGTATGGACTGTGATTGAGGGCTGTGACATGTTACAAACCAACAGCAAGCTCAGGAGCCCCAATACCCCCAAGCCTTCCCGAATCTGACCTGGCCTTCTGGACCCTCTCCCTGAATCTCCTAGAGTTGGCTCTGTATGTGCACCCTCTCCCTGAATCACCTTTGTAGTACATGAGCTGTATGTGCAAATAGGTGCCTCTCTTTGAGTGCTTGTGGCCACTTTCAATGTGGGTCTGGTGAAGTTGGGTGTTCGTCGTGGCCGTAGCAGAACACGCCTCACCAAAAGAACGGGCCACCCGTTCCGAACCAACCCAAACCCTAAAGCCTAAACCCTCAAGGCCCCTAAACCCCGAAAACTCTTCACCTCCGACCTCTCTGGTCTTTTCGGGGATCGTGTTTGGCTCTTGGCCCAAACTTCAGCATGTGACCACTTATGTCTTCCAGAATCCGAATCTTCAGGGACAGAATTAACTCTAAACCTATCGCCGCCGCAACCCCAAGACGTAAGCCCCACACTATAGAGAATCCAAACCCCCCAAACCTGAGCTTACAAGCCCTATAGAAGCCTTCCAGGGCCTGGGAAAGGGGGTGCTTTTGTTGGTTGCCGAGCAGCACCCTCTTCCGGCCGAAAGGGAGGCAAAAAGCCGCCAGAGCCAAGATTACCTGCACTTTTTCAGGGCTGAACTTATGGTAGGAGCAGGGCTAAGAGCTTTGGGGTTAGGGGCGCTTTAAAGTGGGGTTCACACTTTAAAGGCCCCAAGGGTCTGAGATCTGAAGGTTTAGGGTTTGGGGTGCCGGGTGAAGGGTTTAGGGTTTGCGGCTCCTGCTGCAAACAGTCGCTTGACCTCACTTACAAGTCCCCAAAAATATGGAGCAACGGTGGGCTCTTATGTTGGACTCGGCTTGATCTGAGCCCCCTCTAGTAAGTTTTGCTCACCTCCCTCTATACAGCAAGTTTCCAGATTGGTATTTTTTTTGAACGGGCTGTCGGTTTGCTGTTTTAAACTAAGCTTTAGCCACGAAAACCGTCAACGGCCTCACCCTCAACCCTCCGGCCGTTCTTCTCAACTATTCCGAAAATTATTCCTTTCTTCACTTAATCCGCTGGGAAAACATAAAGGCCGAAGGTCGGTTTACAGAGGGTCAGGTCGCAAGCACAGTACGTACGTGGCAGATTGCAAAAACCCCCTTGACTCCAAGTAAGCTAGGCTTCATTTCCTAAACAACCACATGAAACCCCCCCCCCCCAGAGCCGCAAATTAAACAACCCTAAACCCTAAACCCAAAACCCAAAACCCTAAACCGGAAACCTGAACCCTGAAGCCCCTGGTTCAGGTCCAAAAGTGCCTAAACGGTTTCGTTTGGGGTGCTTAGCCGGAATGTGGGGCTGACCTGTGGCCCTACACCAAGACTAATACACCCCAAGCCCAAAAACTCCAAACCTTAGACCCCTAAAACCCAAACCCCCTAAAGCCCCATAAGCATATCAGCCCCAAACCCCCAGCCCTGAACCATAAAACCGATAAGCCCGAAAGTCTGAACCCCGAACCCCAAACCAGCCATCATGCCCGAACGGTAGCTTGACCCAAAACCCTGAAGGCCAAACTCTACTCGTACCAAATCCTAAGCGCGCTACGAACCCTATAAGCCCTGTAAACTCTATATACTATAAACTCTATAAACCCTATACACCCTTTAAGCCCTATAAGCCTTAAGCCCTCCTTCAACCCCACCAACATCCTTTGCGCTCCCCTGCCTTCCAGCTGTGTGCGATGATCATCTCCACCCCTTGCGTCGCCTTGGGAGGGTTGGGTTGAGGCCTTAAATTTGGGGCTTGCAGGGTTTGAAAAGTAGATTTAGGCTTGGGGCCCTTAGGGCCCCTAAACCCGAAACCCAAAACCCTAAAACCCTAAAACCTAAACCGCTGCAGGCTGTCAAGGACTGCATACATCCCTACTGCGAAGCAATAAGTGAGGGGCCTCCGACAACAGTGTGTACCCTTTTTCGGGGGGTCCCTTGAAGGGGAATTCGTTCTGTTTGGGGTAAAACCTAAACCCTAAACCCTAACCCCTAAACCCCAACCCCTAAACCCTAAACCCTAAACCCTAAACCCTAAACCCCCCCCCATTTTTGGAAGTACCCATGTAAGCTCTCTAGGCCGGCGCACCCAGATCGAGAACGTGAACATGATGCCCATGCAGGCGCCGCCGCCTGGCGCGTAGTAAGACCGCAGGAGGAGGAGGAGGAGGAGGAGGAGGAGGAGGAGGAGGAGGAGGGGTTTAGGGTTTAGGGTTTAGGGTTTAGGGCTAGGGTTTAAGGTTCAGGGTTTAACGTGAAGGGTTTTGGGTGGCTTCCAGGCCCGCCCCAAGCATTGAACCCGAAGAACTGTGAACTCAGCGACGGAGCAGCTTGGGGCTTCAGGTGCCATGTGTCGACTTTGTCGAGTTTTTATTTCGGGGGGGGGGGGGGGGGGGGGGGGGGGGGAATTGTGAGCCATACCTTCCACTTTCTTCACCTACACTGTTATGGGTTATACCGACTAAATAGGGGGGGGGGGGTAGTTGCTACTAAACGGTAGGCTAAAAGAGTCGCAGGTATGATCTGCGTCCGATTTCGGTCCCGGAACTCTTCAGGCCATTTTTTTTGTTGGCCTTGCCCACGGCAAACTATAGGGTTCTGGGAACGTATGTACAGCAGTTCACCTCTAGTCTTCGCATTCCTGCCTAAGATGCTTTTCTTCTTTTGCAATATCCCTAAACCCTAAACCCTAAACCCTAAACCCTAAACTTCGCTATCTGTCTTCTGCTACTTGTGTAGAGGAAGCCCCCTATGACTCGAGGTCGCTGTGGGAGGCTCAGGCTTTAGGGAAAAGGGTTTGGGGTTTAGGGTTTAGGGTTTAGGGTTTAGGGTTTAGGGTTTAGGGTTTAGGGTCCCCAGCAACCTCATAATCCAAAGGGCGCCCCTTTTTGTTAGTTCATGGGGGTGGGAACCATGGGCAGCATCCTAGGCTTCGGGTTATTGGGGCTTAGGGGTTTGGGGGGTTGTTTGGGGTTTGGGGGCACCCTAAGCCCAAAAGCCCGCAAAGTGTGGCAATGCAATGTATACCTATAGGGCTTCGGGCTTAGGGTGTAGTTGGGGCTTACAGCTTGTACGGTTCGTGGTGTAATAGAGGGGCCTACTTAAATTAGCACGGTCGTATGATGAGAATAAGGGGATGATAAGGTGACCATGTTGGGAAATCTTGAAGCTCCTGTAAGACCCGCAACGATGGACAATCCCACCCACAGCTCCCATTCAAACGACCCAGTCCAAACACTTCACGGAACACATGTCGTTCTTGTAAGCCCGCACCCGAAACACTAGAACCACAAATCCTAAAATGCTTAAAGCGCCCTGATACCGTGAAACCCGTGAACTCTTAAACTATAGAATCCCAAAACCCTCAAACCACAAACCCGTAAACCCTAAAGCCCAAAAACACCTAGACCCCAAACCCTCAACCACTAGTAAATGGCGCGCAGACCTGCTCCTTTTTTCGTCTCATAGCCATGGCCTGCATCAAACTATAAGGTTCTTAAAGGAAGGCTTAGGGTTTAGGGTTTAGGGCTTAGGGTTTAAGGTTTATAGGGTTCATAGGGTTTAGGGTTCAAGAGGGGGCATGCTTCCCTAAGGTTTCCTAGGTACCGACCCCCCCTCCCCCCCCCCCGCCCCCCCCATGACAGGCCCCTTACGGGCTGAGGGCTTTGAGGTTTTAGGGTTTAGGATGCACGGTGCAGGGGTTGGGGTTTGGGGTTTAGGGAGCTCCCCTACAGTTCTGCAAAAGTCTCCGAAAAGTTCTTGGGCAGAAGGCTCTCGATCAAAGAGCCCCTCCCCAAAACCCGAAACCCTGTAGTCTCTCAACCCCTAAAGCCCTGAACCCTTAAATGAAAGCCGCCGTTTAGGGTTTAGGGTTTAGGGTTTAGGGTTTAGGGTTTAGGGTTCAGGGTTCCTGAAACCCCCTAAAGTGCCTAGGCCCCCTCGACTTTCTCCCTAGACGAATCCCTAAACCCCCTGAACGCCCCAACTCCCCTGAACTCCCTCAACTTCCCTGGACTGTCAAAAAACCCTAAGCCCTAAACCCTAAAGCCCAAGAGTCTCAGAACAGGGGTTTATAGGGCTTCTCGTTTAGGGTTTAAGGTTTGGGGTTGTAGGGTTCAGGGTTTAGGGTATAGGGTTAGGGTTTCAGGTTGGAGTTGTAGGGTTTTGGGGTTTAAGGGCTACGTTGTTGCTTGATGTAGGATTGTTTGTTAATAGGGTTTTATAGGGTTTAGGGTTATCACACAAGGCCCCCGAGCCTAGACTTTTGATCGCATAGTCCCAGCCGCAGTAACCTTGGCGCGCCAATGCCTACCGTAGGGTTTACAGTTTATATAGGGTTCAGGGTTAAGGGGTTTAGGGTTTAGGGCTGCGAAGCAAGAATGGCCCATGGTGCCTTTTGTCGATGCTTCTTTGGTAAAAATCGTCAGGCAAATCGTTG